CAGCACAGCAGCAGCAGCACTCAGAAGCAGCTTGGCTGCCTGCTACTTCTCTGTGTCCTAAGAAACTTCTTTTTTCTCCTGCTTGTTTGTCTTGGTAAATTCTTTTACCAACCTGCAGCACCAAAAGTCCCCAGCACTTCACAGGCTGTCTGTACATCAAGGATCTAGGTGTTCTCACTAGCTCTGTGCTCTGGCCTCTCACGACAGGTCTGGAGGGTCTCCATTTCCTTATCTGTACAATGGGGCCATTATCCTACAAGCTCAATATTGTGTTTCAGCACAAATAACCATTATTCTGTTTCTTCTGAGGCAGTAAGAGGAAGTCAAGAAGTATAAAGTTAGCTATCTATCACATTATCTCTGATCTAGAAGTACTTAAAGGAATATGTGGTGGATATGAAGAAAAGAAGCCCAAATCATGTATACCCTTTGTATAGACTGAAAGACCCTCACACTTGCTTACTTTTTTCTCCATTAAATAATAATCACACTCACCATACAGGAAAACTTTAGGGTATATTTTATTACACACTAACATCCTTTACTTGGCTATTGTTCTAATGACCACGTGACATGAAGGTGGCAGGTACACGGTTGATGTTCACAATGAGGTAGTGGAGACAAAAGAGTTGGGTCATTTGTGTTGTCATGAACAGTGGGTGAGGTTGTCAAGTGAAGAGTTCTAGACCCAACTTTGCCTAACCAGACACCAGAGCAAGTTATTCCCTTTTCTGGGCCTCAGTTTCTTCTGATACGGAAAAGACCAACTAGATTATTGCTACAGTGCTCTGATGCCTAATTTTAAAAGATTTTGTGAGGGTGAACATGGCATGAATCCTGAAGCACCTCACTTCTAAGCCCAGGAGGCACCTGCACAATAATTATATTGTTAAAACACTAAAATATTTTTATACATTCCTCTGCCTCTGATAAACAGTCCCTACCCCAAGCTTCACAAGTACCAGCCTCTCAGCCCCCACCCCCGGCCACCCCAGGATTTCACAATCAAAGAGTGAAGGCTTGGCACAGCAGGAAGTGGGCTCCTGCGTGTCCTGCTGCAGCAGGAGGGCTGGCTGATTGGCCTGTGCCCAGGCCATAACAGATACTTCACGGATCAGCCCTGCCATGCTGAGGCAAGGGTATTCATCTGTAGCTAAGAGACATCCCCACTGTAGCTCACTTTAAAACTCCGATGATTCCAAAAAAAAGTTAATTCACGTCCTAATGTGACCTCCCCAAGCCAAAATTGAGATCAACGAAACAAGATGGCAGCTGATAAAGAACAATCTAGAACCATGCATTTCCAGTTCATTTCTATAAGAGCTGGTTAATGATTTATCTCCCAAAAAATCACTGACCAGTATAACTCTCATACATACCAACATGGGACAGTCTCTAACACATAATAGTAAGGAAAACTGTAATATAAACATGGAATATTAACGTGTCTAAATTAAACACACATAAAGTAACACAGTTTGTAAATGAAGTGTGGTTACCAAGCACTGTAGTAGAAATGGCAGTTAACTTGGTAATCAACAGGATGTAAGTTTGTTGAGCAGAGACCCATGGGGTGAGGACAGGGGATATATCAGTCAGAGACAGAGAGGATGACATACAGGTAGAAAGACTAAAACAAGGGAATTTGAAGATGCACGCTGAACTCAGGACAATAGCTGCCTATGGAGACCAGGGTGGGACTAGCCATGGATGATGGCTAAAGTGATTTTTAGTTTTATCAGTCGTGTTCTTTCTCTTCTAAAAATAAAACACTGGGTGCAAATGCAAAGCAAATATGTAATAGATGTTTATTCTAGATGGTAGGAACTTGAGTGCTTGCCCTATTAAACTCTGCATTTTTCTGTATTTTTACAGAAAGTAAAGTCCAAGTTAATGGGTCCTCCATATCAACACACTGTGTTTCCAGGACCTCAGACATGGATGGTGGGAATAGTTTATGATTCTTCCCCATCATCCTCATTCAGCATCTCAGATTACCAAATCAGCCCTAACTAGTTCATTGCCTGTTTATAAACTGTGCTTTTTTAATGACTGAAATCAAAGTCATTAATTTGTAATTTCAAGCTATTGTCAAATGCAGTATGAAATTTCAGGCATCCTGAGCTGAGTAATCCCTGGTTTCTAGCATAAGATGCTTCTGGTCTAGAACAGATGATGTGTGAGCAAAGCAAAAAAGAAAAATTTAAAAAGGCAATATACTGGGATTAGTGTATAATATAGACATTTTTACTAAATATCGTGTGAGACACAAGGGGATGTGATAGAGCCTTGGAAGGACAATCCTTCATGGAAGGACAATAAAAGGAACCTATCATACATGAAGAAAAGAGGGCAATGAAACCTTTGGAACCCTTTTATATCCCAATGTTACAGTTGTATATGCTGCCAGTTTGGTTGCCAGCATCTGGTGCTAATGGGAGGGGTTGACCCTTAGTAGGTGAGGCCTTGTGGGAGGAAGTTAGGAAGTTAGGTTCCTCCCACAAGGGGTTGTGCCCTTGAAGAGGATATTGGGACCCTAGTCCCTTCCCGTCTCTCTGTCTGTTTCCTGGCTGCCATGAGGTAAACAGGCCTCCTCCATCATGCACTCCCATCTTGATGTACTGTCTTGCCACAGGACCAAAGGCAACAGGGCCAAGCAACCATGAATTGAATCCTCTGAAACTATGAGCCAGAATAAACTTTTCCTCCTTAGTTTATTTCTCTCAGGTGTTTTGTCACAGTCGTGGGATGCTGGCTAACACAACCAATTACCCACAGATTTCAATTCTCACAGCGATCCCATAGAGTAGGTAATATTATTCTCATTTTGAAGTTGAGACAACAGAGGCTCTGAGTACCATCCTCAAGTCAAAAAAATCTGTTACAGATTCTCACCCAGATGTGAAAATTCAAAGCTAAGAATGGGGTGGATATGAAGAAACGGGAGTTCACCTGAAGCAGGGTAGGGAGACTTCTGGTACCGGGCTGTTATTCTTTTTCCTAGACTGAGATGCTCACTGGTAATAAAAGACCAAGGTTATATTCAACTTAAGGTATTTTCTTATTTATCCTAAGATAAGGTCCAAACATAGCGGGGCTTAATAAAGATTAGAGAGACTCAGGCTTAATTTTAAATACTTAGTCTTAGATACACCATCTCTTCTTGCCTCTAACTTCCACCTGTGTGTACATGTTCTCCTGGCTCAGCCAGGGCCCAAGGAGGCAGCTCAGTCTAGGAGAGGGGAGCAGAGGCTGGGACAAGCTTAGGACAGCTGAGATGAGGCACCGCCCTGAGTGCTGCCTAATCCATCCGACATGGGGACACACTGTTCCAGAAACAGGATGACAATTAATAGGAAAAATCTGCTCTCACAGCACTGCCAAACATGTTAAAGGATCTCAGCTGCCGGTGTGTCTCCTTTGGGGAAGAGCAATAATGCCCCATTCTTCCCTTTACTCAATGTCCTGATGTTTTCTCACATGGAAGGGAGGAAGAGCTAAGAAGGTTCCTCCCATGGAAAGAAAACATTGCAAAAACAATAGTACCAGTACTCAAGGGCCCAAGGATGACCCTAAGATAGAAGGCATTGCACTCATCTAGTGGTCATCTAAACTGTAAAGCCCTGTTCGACACATGGTAAGTGTTGCCAGATAGAACACCTCTATCTAGTTAAGGTGCCTCAGAGAGATCTGATCTTAAGTCATCAAACTTCCATCCCCAATTTCCCTGCACGTGTATTTCTCTTGGTCAAAATACCTCAGATGAGTCAAGAAAACCTGCTTGACCTTGCCATTATTTAAGTTCCTCGAAAGCAGAGAATGCAGAGGAAGAAGACTCCTGGAAATACAGGCAGCCTGGCCCCATCTTTTCTGCCCTTCTATTTCTCTCTGAGTATTCACCTAGATATCAGTGTTCTCAGCATTTAAGGGAATCATACTCTTGTAAGAATATAATGCAATCCATGGACTAGTTCCATTCCATGAAAAAGCACCCTACCCCCACTAGGTACAAACACTGAAACATTTGCATTAATTTCAGGGAATACTGTCCCTGTGAAGGTCATTTGTGTATTTTCCTTCAGTCCATGAACCCCAAGGTTGGGACTCCACACCAGACACCAGCTCCTGTATAGAAGCCAAGTTCATCTTTCTAGAGCCCATGATTTCACCTGAATCTTGTCTAAGCAACCTTTCATCATCCCTCGCTATCTACCCTTGCCCAGCATCAGCCAGACGTGGAACCCCCAGCTGTAAACATATCTTGAAATTAAAGTTTCTGTTTTGAAGCTGGTACCCAGCCTGCTTTGAGCCATTTGGTCACATCCATCTCTGTGACCAGGCAGGTGGATGCTAAGTCACCATGTTAACCCCTTTCATGCGAGGGGGTCATGCCTGAGCCTTGGCAGAATGTCACATCCCACCACCCTCTCTGCACCGTAATGGGACTGTGTACTCTGGGTCATGGAGGCTAGCCAGCAGATTTAAAAACCAGGTTGCTCTTGGCATCCATTCCGGAACTATGTCTAGAGCTACGTGCTGGAATACCATGGCACAGGCAGCTTTTCAATACCACAGTCCACAATCTATATCTAGCTGTGTACTTCCTTCCCAACGTGACTCCAAATGGATGCAAATGAGAGTAAAACCAAGACACTCAAACCAAGAGTCCTTTTCCAACCAATAATGAAAAGAAACCAGAGTCTTCTTCATTTGTCCTTAAATCCAACTTCCTTCCCAAATTGTTCTCATCACATAAGCCCATCCAAACAGTGATTATCAGAAGAAAGCCATGTGGTTCACAGCTTGGCTCCGACAGATCCAACATGGCTCCCAGTCCATAATTACCAAGAACAAGGGTACAGACAGGAATTTCCACCACTACTTAGGTCCCACAACCAGATGCGCTCTCAGAGAGCACAGGGAGATGAACACAGCATCTTTTAATCAAAAGAGCCATGTTTTTCCCCATGGCATCCTTGGAACTAAAAACCCCACCTTACCCTTCATTCCAAATTTGGACCGTCGGCCATACTTGTTGATCATGATGAAGAGAATCACCAACAGGACACAGGCAAAAGCAGCAAGTCCAACTGCTATGGATACCTATGAGGACCAACATAGACAGTCAGGAATGGTCATGGAAAACATGAGTGCCTTCAAAGTGACATGTGTGCCCAGATGAGAACAGTCCTACTGCGGTAGCAACTGGATCCCTCTCAGAACTTTAGTATGAGTAAGATCTCTATTTTTAAAATGTTTTTGTTAATATAGGATAGTTATACAAGGGGTTTTGTTGTGACATTTATATATATACATATATTGTACCCCGGTTTGGTTCATCACCTTCATTATTCTCCTTGTTCTCCCACTCCCCTTCTTAAAATGACTTAGCCAAGCTTCAATGTTCCATGTTCATACATATATAGAAAGTACCTCAGCCATATTCACCCTCCTTTACCCTCTCCATTTACCCTCCCTCTCCTGCTAGTACCCTTCTAGCAGGAAGGGTAAGAGAACAGGTTATGTTCTCTTAACATAACCTGTTTTATAGTTCTGCCCTTCATTATTTAAGTGTCTGTTCATTGTTCAGTGGGGCTTTGCCTTGGAATTTTACCTGCAAATATAATGTACGTCATTCAGTCAAATCCCCTCTCCTACTCTTCCTTACCCTTCTCCCCCTACCCTGTATTGTTCAACAGTTCTCAGTGTGTTTCATTGTGTCTTGTTCCTACATGGATGTAATGTATTAAAAATTATTCACTCTCTATCGTTCTTTTCTTCTATTCTTCCTCCCTTAGTCTCAGAAATCATTTAGAAGAACCTAGGAGAGTTTTAATTTTTTTAATTAAAAAAATATAAAATACCCAATGATTAGAGAAAGTTCCATGATTCAATGTTCTGAGCCCCTTATACCTGAAGGCCATTCTAGAAATGCAAGAGCAAGCTTAGAGAAACTTCTATTGCTTTAATTAGCAAGCAAGTTCTGCATCTTCACATTGAACTTTTTTACTTAGTATTCCTATCTAGGAAGGCCTAAGAGATCTGAACAGTCAAAAGTTCTTTCCTCCCCTCCCCAGGGAAATCTCAGACTCTGAGAAAACCCATCTGAGGGGATGCCCTAAGCAACTTGGACTTTTGCAGAAGGCTCACACAGTCAGCAGGCCCTACAAGCCAGGCTCCTAACAGACTAGGGAATTTCAAACTGTTCTCTTGCACAACCCTGGGGCTTGTTGCTGATCCTCAAAGACCTCCTCAAACAATGAACTGCGCATCCACCATCACTTTTTTTCTGCCATAGGCACTGAGGTTCTGAGTAAGATAATATTTGAAGAAGTCAACAACTCAAATAAAGTCTGGAAATGATTACATCAGTTAAACATATTCCTCTTGACCAAGCAGTGACTCACCCCAAAAGTGTCTTCCTCTGGTTTATGGGTCACAGTGATAGGAGGTGTAGGGCTCACTTCTGGGTCTAAAAACCAAACACAAAAGGAAGAGGGCAGTTAGTTTACTAGCCTGGGAGAGCCAGCCAGGGTCTCTGCCCAGTCCTCTGGAAGCTAGGTTCTTCCAGCCACCCTCCCAGGTCTAAAGGAGTCCCCAGAGTCACTGTCTGGCCACATGGCCAGTGCTACAGCTCCAAAAGGAATAAAGATACTCCACTCCCAATTCCTACCCCCACCTCCAAGAAAAATACTCTAACTTGGGCAACGTACACCATGAGCCATGGGACAGAAATGAGGAAAATGGCTTGGGATCCTGGCCAGGGTCTGGATTAGGCACATTTTACCAGTGATGGCAGCTGTTGCTGACATTCTGGTATTCCTTGCCTTAGGTGTTCCTTTCCCTTTCCCTGCTTCTCCTGTCCCTTCTTGCTCCTCAGTGATATTCAGGCCTATGGTCACATCAACAATCCACTATCCATTCCCCTACTAGTGATTTCAGAATACAAAGGCAGGTCAAATTTAACAACAGCCACCTGAGTCACTAGGTTTAGCTGGAAAGCCAAGTGTCACCCTCCTTTACCCAGTAAGGCCAGACGCAAAGCCAAGCAAGTATCACCCTCCTTTCAAAACCATTTCCTTGGCAAGAAATTGCCCCAGCTTGGAATACTCTGAAAGGCCATCTGTAGATTACAAGTCCTCTAAGACCCAGGATAACTAAAGGAATCATAGATGACATTTCTATCAGTGCCAAATAGCCAGTATTGGTCTATCTCTGGCCAGACATTGGGCAAAAGAGGCCACAACTGCTTCTTTTATTCCCACTTCCCATGAGGAAGAAAAGAGAAAGGAATAAATATAGGTTTCCCACAGCCCACAAGCAAAACCTAAATCCTTTTAGAACTGTCTAGCTCTAGCCTCAAAGCATTTATAAGCTGAGCCTCAACAGTTCCATCTGAGACCTGGTAAATCACAACTCTACCCAAGGTGGAGTCTGGCCAAATATTTGGGCTCTTGAAGCAGGTATATAGGATTCATATTTTATCTGCAAGAACTGAGGTCATCAATAAGAGTGTACCAGGGTGCACTGAACCCCATATCCAGCCTGCTGCAGCCCCTTTTCATCCGAGTAGGGAGACCCACTACATTGTCATACCTTAGAAAACTCCTTGGGGAAAACTGAGGCACAGAGCAATTACCCAAGGAAAGTGCGCCCAGGCAGAACTACATTTCTACTCTCTTGTTCCTTTTTCCTTTTCACTCAGACACCCACAGCTGCCATGGGACTGAGAATGATATAGAATAGGAAAGTCTAGACCAAAATTGTCAGAATAAGTCAGTTTGAAAGCAAAAGGAAAATGAGACTTACCGAGGTCAAAGATATCTGTGCTCTCTGCAGAAAAAGACAAAGAGGTAATTAGCAAATGTAATAAAACCAGATCAGACACACTACATCATCCTAATAGTTATGACCTCAACCAATCACCACAATCCATCCCCTGTTCACGCAGCAAGTGATACACTAAAATTCTTGGCACATCATCCCCTCCCCACCTGGGACTACCTCTTCAGGGGGTGGTCTTCCAAGTAGAGAAGAAATAAGAGATAAAGTTTCTGGTTCAAAGGAGGTGGCCCATCTGGGATCTAAAAGTTAAACTAGCGAATTTATGAGTTAGGGAATTAAATCCTGACCCACAGTCTCATCCACAACCCTCCCTCCTTCAGAACTCAGAATGCTGGGGACAGTGCTACGTGGTGAGGCCAGCTATGATCTCAGGATGAAACATGCACAGTTAATTCTTATAGCTTGCTGGGGATTTCCTGGGAATCCCTCTAGAATTTGCCCCTCCTGGATGGGTGTGTATTATCTGAACCTTGGTCTCTAGAAATGGTCTACCTAATAAAGAAAACTAACCCTTAACTTGACAGTGATTATGAGCCAGGGGTTATGCTAAATTCTCTGGGTAACATATCACTCCATCCTTATTACCACCCTAGCAGATAGGTAACATTACCTTCATTTAACAAATAAGGAAAGAGTCCTACAGACATTAACTAGCTAACTGAATGCCATTTATCTAAGAGGAAGTTAGAGTTGGATTCAAAACCAAGACTAGGCTCTTCACCAATCTACTCAAACTTTAGCACACAATGAAAGAATCATCTGGAGGTAATGGCTACCATTGTCCAGTGACAGGAATTAGGATTACTTTAAGCTGGAACAGAGAAAATACAAGATGAGCCTAGAACCATTTATGGTACTAGAAAGTAAAAATGATTAATGGGGGCAGGAAACAAGAGCTGAAGCAAAAGGATCCCAATGGCCCAATGCTGGGATAATTTGACCAACAAAATAGAAACAGTCATGGATTTTTATGGACAAAATCATGTCCCCTCAAAATCCAAATGTCCAAGTTATAACCCCCAGTACTGTAGAATGCCATTGACTTTGGAGATAGGAACTTCGTTAGGTACTTAGGTTCAAGTGAGGCCATTAGGGTGAACTTTAATCCAATATGACTGGTGTCATACACAGGGAAGACCATGTCAGGACACAGGAAGAAGCCGGCACCTACAAGCCAAGAAGACAGGCCTCAGAAGGAACCAACCCTGTCAACACTTGGTCCTGACTTCCAGTCTCCAGAATTGTAAGAATGAATTTCTGTTGTTTCAGTCATCCAGTCTATCGTACTTTACCATGGTAATCCTAAAAAATTATGAAAATACCCACAAATCCACACTGATACAAAAATATCATTGAATAACTAGATGAGGGAAGAAGGGAAAGCTCTTCCTCACAGTAAAATTCCAGCTAATAAATGTCGAAGGAAAGATGGAAATAGAAACATCACCATTTGGCAGATACTATCGTAATAATTGTTTCAGACAAGAATCATCACTGAATCTTAAAATTAGTGTATGGAGGAATGGGACAAGCTATTTATATAGCTTCAGATCGTGATTCTTACTAATTGCAAAGGGAAAAATAGTCACTTTGCAATGGAGGAATCTGGCAGACAGCCCCTCAACCAAGTGAGAAAGTTAACATGCCACAGACAAGACATGTGACAGGCCCAAAGAGCAAAGCCTCACACATGCTAAGCAAGTGCCTTGCCACTGATGCACATTGAGAATTTGCATTTCAAACAAGTTTGATGCTCTTGGTCCCTTTGGGGGACCTCCTCGTGCCACACCCTGAAAAAGAAAAACAATTCATTCTTTCACTTATTCACTCACTCAGCTGCATCTCTTCCACTTAGCAGGCCCTGGGCTGAGCCCCCGCAGTCATCCTAAGCCTAGCTCCATTAACTAGGCACCAGCAGATAGTTGTTCTCTAACTGCCTGGGGGAACAGGACGCTTTCTGAGAAGGAGTCTTTCCAAGAAGGTCTTACTACCCACTCTGTGTTATGGTGAGGGAAAGCAACAGAGCTTTCTCTAAATTCCTGATCATACCCTACACATCACTACCCTCTTCTACCTACAGGTGACCCATTGCCTGACTTGAGGGAGGATGGAGGCGATGGAGGTGCTTGCCTTGGCATCATAGCCTAGAGGAGAGAGGAGCCAGATCCATCCACAGAATCCACTGACTTGCATATTTCTCATAAGGTGCCCATTTATTAGAGGATATCCTCACATCAGCCAAATATGTCAGCCAAGTCTGAGACCCTGTCATCTCCCAACCAGCCTATGAGTGTGTAAGTTCTCTGCCACAGAGTCTGGGAGCATTCAGATATACAGCAAGCTCTTGCCTGGAATAAAGGGACATCTTGGATGCTCCCTAACTCAGCTGGTCACACTGGAAGAGGATGGTATCAAGAATGGTCCATCTCTCTCTCCCCCACATGCAAACTTGGAGGAGGACTGGACCAGCACGTCAAGCACCAGGTGAACACGAACTGGGCTGTGCAATGAACATGTACGCATGTCCCTGTGCTCCCAGACCTAACTCCTCAAGGAGAGTCTTCCGGGTGGGCTCGCCTTCACCACAACTTTGAGGGAGAAGCAGGGAGATTAAGTCGTTTGTTGGAAGTCACACAACTGACAGGTGATTGTGTGAGAACCTGAACCCTGGCAATGTGGCTTCACAGTCACTAACTTAGACTGCCTTGAGACAATCTGTTAGAACTTACGAGCTTGACCACGGAGTGACTACTGGTTCTACAACCCCTGAACTCATCTTATCTCTGCAGTCCCAAAACGCTAACAATATCCACCAGCCATCGAGCCTTCTCCCTGTCCAGATACGCTGCTAATCCCTGGAGTGTTTTTATTTCATTTAATCTCCATGGCAACCTAGGCAGGAGCTACTGTTATCTACAACCCATTTCACAGGTTGTAGAGTTGTCATCGCCCTTCACTGAGCTGAGTGCTGATCATGCACTAAACTTCCTTCTAGGGGCCCAGGCCACCCGTCTGGGAGGACCACACACGCAATTCGCACCCAAATCTCTCTGATTTCAAAGCTTTTGTCATAACCGTAACACTGCTGCCTGAGCACGTGAGAGCAGTACACGTAATAGATACGATACTCTACACCCTCACATCAAAAGAACAGAGCCAGGACCAGGCACAGTGGTGCATACCTATAGTCCTGGCTATTTAGGAGGCAGAGGTAAGAGGATCATCGTCCAAGGCTGGCCTGGGAAAACACATGAGACTCTATCTGAAAAATAAAATAGAAAGCAAAGGACCACTGGCATGGTAGAGTGATTACCTAGCCTGAGTTCAGTCACCAGTACCACCAGAAACAAACAGCCAGAATTCACAGACGGCTTTGTATCCAGTGCTCAGCCAGTGTGCGTTTAGTTCAGAGGGGTTGGCATATCCTACTTGCTCCCCCAGAATATTTACCCTTCTGAACATTTAGACATCTTGTCACTTGACACATCTGGCCCATCTTCTCCCCATCACTGCTTCTTCACCATCCTCTGATTTCTTCAATATAAAAGTTCATGAAACAAGCAAACCTTCACACCGGGTGGCCCTGGCAGGGTGTGGATGGGTTTGAGCAAAGGATCTCAAGTGAGCTGCTTCCCCTCAGGGCTTCCTGAGACTCAGTCCTCTGCCGCCTGGGGCCAGATTCCCACCAAATGCTGCTTGAGAGTCACCTGAGGACCAGATAACACAGCAGCAAAACCCATGCTAGTCTGACTCAGTAGAACTGAGTTTTAACCCATTCCCAGGTGAGGCTGAGGCTGCTGGTTGGGCGCTCACCTTGGGAACTACTGGCCTAAAGAGACTTGATAACTGACTATGTGACAAGGGTCCCCAGGGACTGTGAGAGGGGCTGAAACTTAGAGAGACAGAAAATGTGTCCACTAAGCTGGGAGGACCCAGACAACTGCTGTCACCCAGGAGAGAGGGCAAAGGAAAGGCTGACTACCACACCATCCACTGCTCCTGTTGCCCCATGGCTCTCAGGATACTCACTTGGAGAGGAACCCTGAGTGGCACTCCCTCCCTCCTGAACATTCTGGGGCTCCCCATTCTCTCCAAGCCTTGAGTTTCCATTTGGAAAGGGAAGCATTGCTTCACGCTTCCCCCATCAGGGAGAGAAGACTCACTGTCCTCTTTAAAAACAGAATTCATTCTCTAATCTGCATGTTGACACAGGGGGAGTACAGGACCAGGCCAACCCTAGATGTCAAACAGGCCTAGACTGACTTTGTGGCCCATGAAATCAAATTATCTTCGTGACCAAAAGCCACTGATCCACAGTGCAGGGCAGGACACTTCTCCCTGCCGAAAGAAAAGTGCAGCCCACAGTGGGAAGGGTTGTGAGGCCTCTCACTGGACACTGGATGTATGGGGGTGACATCACGCTTGTCAGGCCAGTTGAAATTGCCCAAGTCTCATACATCAGCATGTGCTCAACCCTCTCCTGAGAGACAGCACCATAATCTCATGGACCTCAATGACAAGAAAGTAGCTGCACACATGGCCTCATTTCTCCAGCTCCACTTGTGGGGACTCTAGTTTGGGTTACCATGCACTGAGTTCCCAAAGCCACCACCCTGTGGTTATCTACAGACTGTGAAGTCACCTTCACCCAAACAGATCCTGCAAGACACTGGCTCTGCTGCCTTCCTACTTTTCGTGTGTGATATTTGTCTTTTCACTGTCCTTTATCTCACTAGAAACCCAAGCTTCTGGGGATTGAAGGTCAGGAAGTCACCCAGTCTGTTCCCAGCACATATCACAAAGGTCAGCAAAGAAACACGACCTGATGAGCAGAAACTTACGGACTGTGGGACCCATCAGGAGATGCTACAACCAACCACGTTCACTAAGCAATTTGGTGATTTCTTCTCTTCCAGCTGTAGAAAGGCATTTGGACCACCCAAAAATACAAACTTGGTCTGGCACCGTGACTCACACCTATAATCCCAGATACCTGGGAGGCAGAGATCAGAGGATCTAGGTTCAAGGCCAGACCATGCAAAAAGTTAGCAAGACCTCATCTCAACAAACAAACCAGGTATGGTGGCACATACCTGTCAACTCAGCTATGCAGGATGTGTAGGTAGGAAGATTACAGTCCTAGACAAGGCCAGCCATGAGTAAAAAGCTTGAGACCTTATCTGCAAAATAACTGCAGCATAAAAGGGCTGGGGTGTGGCTCAAGTGGTAAGCATCTGTCTAGCAAGTTTGAGGTCCTATGTTCGGGAGAGTACAGCCAAAAAAAAATCCAAACAAAGTTCTTCCATTACTTCAATTATTAGCCCTGGTTCATGTGACATTAACACCATCAGAGGTTGTTTGTCAGCATCACCTACCCCCACCCTGCATTAGTTCACCATGGAACAAGAGCAGAAAGGAGTTCAGTCCTGGAGGCCAGGTCCAAGGAAGGCAAGCCTTGCTGCTGACGAGCAAGGAGAATGAGGATGCCACAAATCTGGGAAATGGGGGTTCCCTTACAGTGGAAGGTCACCGAACCACCATCTCGAACCAACCTCTGTGACACCTTAGCTCACGTAAAAGCCAAAAGACTCAGGGGAGAGGCGTAATCATGTCCATTTCAAAGGTGAGAAAATCAAGACTTAGAAAGGCAAACTCTCAGGCTCAGAGTCTTTGAACAAGTACAAGATTCTCACTACAATTGTCCATCTGTTAAACCCTTGATCCCTCTACTATACACAGAGGTTTTCAATGCACACCTGGGTACTTCTGAAGGGCTCAGATGTTACATGACAGCTACTGGAAAATTAGACTTTATCCTAGTTTATACAGAATGTGGATGGTGACAGCTCATGTCGCCAGGTCACCCAAGATAACCAGCTGAGCAATCACCACTGCTCCACACCGAGCCCACCCCCAAGCAACCAGAAGGAGTTGGTGCCATCTCACCTGGAAAAGGCTCCTTAAGGAAGTGGCCATTGATGGTCTGGTTGGCTGTGCCCAGCGGGTTCTTGGCGATGAGGGTGTAATTGCCATTATTGTAGTGGGTAGGCTTGTTGAAGAGCAGGCAGCCCTCAGAGACCTCACCCTCCTGGTAGAACTCCACGTGAATGATCTTGGACTCACGCAGAGGTTGCCCATTGTGTAGCCAATGCAGCGTGGGCGGTGGGTTGCCCCGCACCACAAACTCGATGCAGTGCTCCAGGCGTAGCTCTGGCTCCTCCAGGCTCACCACACGTGGGGGATCTGCGGGAAGAGGCCAGCTGACGTCCAGGACGCAGGCCTTCTAGGAACTTCCAGCTCCGACAGGGCTGATGGGAACAGAGATCTGACCACCCACCACCCCAACAGAGGGGAAAAGACGCCTGTCTTCATCCAAGCTTCTGGGGAGGGTTCCCTTGAGACCCTTGAGGGTTTTAGCCAAAGGCAGAATGGGCCAATCAGAAGTGTACTGAGGAAGCAGCTGAACTAGAGCTACACAGTCTTCTGAGGGGCACGGACACTGTGTCTTAGGTTTACTGTGCCAGGACTTCTCAGTCCTGCCCTGAGAGAGCCTTTCCGTTCCCACAGGTAGAACACAGTCTGTGCTCTAGCTCAGCCCTAGCAATGCCTCTACCCCATCCCCAGCCTCCTGCACCAGGGTCCTCCTGATGCCCAGCCAGAGGCCATGATGACAGGCACTTACAATAGACAGTGAGGGCAACACTGGCATTGCTCATGCCCACCACGTTCTCTGCGATGCATGTCAGGGTGAAGCCATTATCCTCACTTGTCACATTCACCAGCGTCAGGTTGATGGCATGTACATTGGTCCAATTCAGATTTGTCTGAAAACCCCAATAAAAAGACAATAATCAAACAGTTCTACCTGGACAGCTCCCCTACCTTAACCTAACGTCTTTAGGAATCAAGAGGAAAGCAGAGAAGATGGTGAAGGAGGTCTTTCTGGTGAAAGCACACTGACCACGGGCCAGGTTCTTCAGTCAATAGGTCAGGTAACCCTCATATTTAAACTATGGGGTGCACGCTAGCACCATGACCATTTTACAAATGAGAAAACTGAGGTATAGAGAGATTGAATAGCACGTGTAAGGTCAAAATGACTAGAAGAGATTACAGCTAGATGGAATCCAAGTCTGTTTCTTATTGTAGGGACAGGGCCACAAAATTTTTCTCTTGCTAAGATTAAGGGGTCAGCACTCATCAGCCTCCTGACAGGGCCTGATCCGAGGACGCCTACCTGGTGGGTGTTGATGGACTGCAGCCCAGTGACTATCCAATCCACATCAGGCAGTGGCGACCCAGAGCCATTGCAAGTGATGACAGCATTTTCCCCCTCTCGTACGGTCAGGTTGACATGACTCACGCTGATCTCAGGAAGGTCTGGGAGCAGGGGGGAGGGCAGTCGCAAGTGAAAAGACAGGCAGACACTACCCAGAGGAAGCTCTGTCCATGGGGATAATGTTAGCCCTTCTTAATAACCTTCTTAATAACCTTGCTTAACAATGACTCCAACACAACCTGGTTAGCTCTTGGAAGACCCCAAAGTCCCCCCAATAGTCCTCAGAACTCAGAATTGAGGCCCATGCCGTTGGATGCTCCTGCAGAGCAGGGTGTGAGCAGGACAGCTGCACACGGCATGAATTTCTAAAAACTAAGCCCAATGGCTTCATTCCACTTGGGACGCTGGTTCTTCTAAAATTGATGTGTTTCAGGTTCTCACAGGGAGCTTGCTAAACATTCAGATTTCGGGGGACCATCCAAGACATTGGGCTCTCTGAAATCTGTGGCTGGGCCCAGAAAGCTGCAGTTCTAAATCACCTTGGAAGCTCCTGAAACAGAAAGTTCAGAGACCACACTTTGGGACCTACTCCTTGAGCTTTGACCAACAGAGAGGAAGGGTCAGCTGAGAAGGCATACACAGAACTCCCATCTGTGGTCCCTAAAATCACCCTTCCCCTGGCTGTTCAGGGACAAGAATGACCAAGTAGGGAAAAGGTGACTCCCACTGCTTCCAGCTGCAAAGGTCAAGTCCGGGCAAGGCTGGAAAGAAGGCCCTAGCATGGCATTTGAGACCCAACATATGTGTCTGCAGGACGCCTCCCAGGTACTCACCACACTGACTGATGTTCATACGGAAGAGGGGCAGCTGCGAGCCATCGGCGCTGACACAGTAGAGGCTCTGGGCATTCAGCCTGGCCTCCCCCTGCTCTTGCCACAGCTGCATCCAGCGGATGTCACAGCTACAGTTGAAGAAGTTCTGCTCCAATCTCCTGTAGGCAAGAAGAGAAGGGAAGGAATCCCTGAACCAAGGAGAGCCCAGCTCCCTCCCAGGGCCAAGGCCAGCAGGACCTCTTCAGGGGACCAGGAGAGAAGGAGAGAAGCAAGGTCATGAAAGAACAAAAAAAAAAAGAAAGAAAGAAAGAAAGAAGGAAGGAAGAAGGCTTGTAAGTAGTCCATGATCTTATTTAGTTTTAAAAGTAATAATCTCATTTTGAAAAAAATCCATCTCAATTAGCTCACCAGTGAGCTCGTGGAGTGGTTTTAAGGTAGACTGGTTGCCTAGCAAGCATGAAGCCCCGAATTCAAATCCCAGCTCCCCCCCCCCACATACACACACACAAAACCCTACAATTACCTCACCAAGTAAAGAGACCCTTTTAAATACATCAGGTTGGGATGTGCCTCTTCTTACAACTTTCCAGTGGTTAGTCTGTTTGTATGTTGAGGTCAGAGACATAGCCTATTTTGTCCATTGCTGTATGTCCAGGACCTAAAACTGAACCTCATATATAAATTCTTCTTGAATGAAAGTAGAGAGAGAGAGAGAGAGAGAGAGAGAGAGAGAGAGATTTCCCTGGGGAGTGGGTGCTTTGCTATTTCCCAAATATATTCAAAGCTCATCTTGGGACCAACTTTATTCCTTCCTAAATTCCTTAATAATGCTTGTTTGGCATCTGGCCATGGGTTAAGAGAGAGATAAACAGGACAGTCCCTGTGTTCCAGGAGCACAAAGCTTGGTGAAGAAGAACGTCTGATAGGGAAAGAGTCAAGTTCAAAGCCTTGTTCTTCACGGATTTTCCTTGTGACTTGGAACAAGTCACATCCCTCCCAGTGAGGTTATTAGGAAACGATGAGCAGCATTAATCAATCCAAACACTCTTCAAGTAAAGTGCAAACTCTTAAATCCGAATGCCTGGACCATTACGGGGAAGGTGATTCTCTCTCTGGACCATGGAGGGGATCGATCTGTTGTACTGGGAGGTAGGCACGTGGGTCACTGCATTAAGATCCCGAGTATTTTTGACAACTGGCAAATTCCAAAATAGTCAAGCATGCATCAGCATTTATCAGATTTCAGGGGGAAAATGAGGCCCCTGAGGAGGGGAACCATGTTTTGTGGGACAAGGACTTCAGGTAGAGTAGGCAGAACATCCCTACACAAGATCATCCTCTTGGCCTAAGTGCACTCGTGACTTCTCTCTGCACACGGTGCCCTCTAAGAAAAAGGGAAGGGAACAGCTGTTACCAAGAATCTGCTTCTCTCAGCAATCCTCGGAGAGAACCAGAGCTGACCCCATACAGATGACAGGGCATGTCTGATGTTGGAGGGGTGCAGTCACATGCTCAGGCCCCTGGGCTGGTGTATGACAGAGCAGGGTTTCAAAGATCAGTCTGTTGGACTCCAAAACCCACGCATTTCCTGCCCCATCTGCCCTGTGCAGAGTGCCACGGGAGAGACTGAGAGGGGCGAGCCAGGACCCTTGACTTCAGGGGTTCATGGAGGCAAAGACAGGGGAAGAGCTGGAGGCAGTTGCCAGGACAAAGGGACGTTGTAGGCAGAGGTGGAAAGCAAAGCTCAGCCAAGACACAGAGTTAGTGTCAGGGAGCACGGGGACATAAAGCTGGAAGCCAGTTGGTGGGGGTCTTTCACTGCCACATCAGGAATCTCAGAATTCATCCAGGAAGCAGCGGGAAACCACTGAGGCCTGAGCACTGGAGAGTGTGACAGCAATTAGGATATACAGGGCCACCACGCACAGTTGCATGGTTCTGCATTTCTCAAGGAACTCAGACAAAGCAATGAACAGGGGATGAAATTCAGATGCAGTACTCCAAGTCACACGGAGGCATCAGACAGGCTGCTAAGGTCAATGTGCTGGAACTTTCTGTCTCAGAACTCCTGTGCACTCTTAAAATTTTCCTGAGGGCCTTAAATAGCTCTTGTTTATGTGGACTGCATCTCTCATTATTTACCACTTTAGAAACTGAAACAGAAAATTTTACAGCACCAGAATACATTAGCACAAATTCCATTAGCCATCAGAGCAATGATGTTATCGCATGTCACACTGTCACTGGAAAACTCCACTGTACCCTGGCTTAAGGATGAGAGTGAAAAGGGCAAATGATGTCTTACCATTGCTATGAAAAAACTGTACTGCACAGTCTCCCTGGAAAGCTTGGGGTCACCCAAACCACCATTTGAGAACTTCGACTAGTAAATAAAAACCTAGAATAAACTGGGGAAAGGAACAGAGAGCACACAGTAAACAGCACAAGGAACACAAAACACTACTGCACGTTTTGTGGAGGCAGAAGAAAAGGAAATGTGGAAGGTGATATTTGAAGCTTCCGGAGACAGGAAGTCAGTGGTGGAGAAAACTGGTTGGTTGAATGCAGCAGAGAAGGGATCCATGGAAAGGAGGAGCAGAGGAGTGAGGACAGGGCGGAGAGCAATTATGAGATCCAGATCCTAGAGGAGGAAAGGAACAGATGAGTCAAAAGGCCTTGCAGATGTTTGCCTTAAGCAAGATGGCAGAGAGACGTGATGAAGAAGAGAGGGAAAGTAGGAGAAACTGACAGAGAAATAAGAGAATAAAAGTATTTGCATTGTACGTGGTATGGTGACTACACTGTGCCCCATGTCCTACACACACTACACCTCACTTAACCCTCACAAGGAGGAAGCAAGAGGAAGAAAGGGGACATCTGACGGTATCCTTAGGAAAGTAGGAAGTCAGAGTCAGATGAGAAAAAAGTAAGACCCCCATGAGACAAATAACTAAAGCAAAAAGGTCAGTATCGAGAGAGAAAGAGAGAGAGAGAGAGAGGAGAAAGAAAAGAAAGAAAGAAAGAAAGAAAGGAAGGAAGGAAGGAAGGAAGGAAGGAAGGAAAGAAAGAAAAGAAAGAAAGAAAGAGAGAGAGAAAAGAAAAAGAAAGGTAGGGAAGGAGAAAAGAAAGAAAGAAGGGAGGGAGGGAGGGAAGTCAAATTATTATCAAGTCTGTGTAAGGAAAAGGAAAGCCTGAGGTGGAGGGATTTGGACCCCCACTGCTGGGCTGCGAGGAGAGGCCTGGCAGCCCTGTTGGACAACACAGAGGGCCCAGATGCTTAAATATGTGCAAACTGAACCAGGTCAGCCTGGTTGTTCCCAGCTGCTCACTTGACAAGATGTGGCCATTCATTATGAAGCAGGTGTAAAAATACAAATTATCCACCTGCGTTGAAAAGAGGAGACAAGTGAGGAGCTTGGCAGGGCTGCCTCAAGCCACACACACTTGACGCAGTCCTGCCTGCCTCATGTTGGAGGCTGGCCGCAGCACATCCCAACATCCCAGTGGCCCCTCAGAGGCAGACGGTGCCAGTGTGTCCTGAGGCTGGCAGGAGAATTAGCTGAGAAGTTTGGGATGTGCCAGGCACGACTCAGTAACAGTTCATTTCCTTCCATCCTTGCCCTCCAGGGCCCTGTGTGCAGGACCACATCCAGCCAGAGGGATGCACCTTGAGATCTGGTTCTTCACTGCAATCCAGAGTCTCCTGGAAACTATGAAGAACCTTGGAGTCTTCTCCTCTGAGAGAACAAAACAAACAAGCAGAATGCATTTTGAGTCTTTTTTTTCTCGGCCATACTGGGGTTTGGACTCAGGGCCTTGGGCTTGCCAGGCACGTGCTCTACCACTTGAGCCACTCCACCAGCCCTTTCTGTGGTTGATTTGTTCGTCATGGGCCTGGGATTTGAACTCTGGGCTTCATGATTGCAAAGCAGACACTCTACAGCTTAAGCCCCACCTCCAGTCCTGTGTTGGTTATGTTCAACATAGGGGTTTCACTTTTTCCCAGGCTAGCCCGAACCACAATCCTCCTGTTGTGCTCCCCTGCATAGGAGCATGCCATCAGGCCTAGCCATTGGTTGAGATCAGGTCTCACAAACAGTTTTTTTGTCCAAGGGCTGGCCTCAAACTGTGATCCTCTGATCCATCTCTGCCTCCCAAGTAGCTTGCATTATGGGGTTGAGTCACCAGGCCCAGCTGCATTTTGAGTCTTAAACAGTGGCACCTGGACATCCTGATGGGCAAATCCACAATTGCCTTTATATGCAGATGGGGGAGAAGCAGAGACAAGCAATCCTGGATCTAAATGGCACCGCCCATTCAGTGCCCTCTCCCCAAACCAGTGCTGGGCTTCAGTCAGGGTTTGGGGGCAGATTTGCAGAGCTGAAAGCATGGCTCTCTGTGCTCCATTAATAATGCAGGCTGCCCCATGAATAATGCAGCAGAACTGCTTCAGGGCACAGCTTACCACGCAAGGCCCAGCCCTTGCCCCCAGATGGCCCAGGGCCTAATCACAGGCCCGTGCGGGCTTCCCATAGATTAACTCAGTCCATCCAGGCCCAGCACACAAACACTGTGCAGTGCAGCTAAGGCCATGACTGCATTGATGCATTGAAACATTGATTCCTCACCAGTCATCACCCGGGGAACTTTCTTATCACTTCTTCAGCATCAGCGTGACCAGTGGTAATCCTGGGGCCACTGTCACAGAGCAAAGGACACACAGCAGAGGCCTCCTTGAGATAACAACAGTCAGGTGGCAGAAAAGATATGAAAGATCTAAGCAGAGCTAGCTATGTCACTTTGAGGAAACATAACGGGTTGAATTATACCCTCCAAAAGACAAGTCCAAGTCCTAGCCCCAGTACCTTCTTTGGAAATAGAGTCTTTGCAATAAAACCAAGGATAAAGGAAAGAGATCACTCTGGATTTCAGGTGGGCCCTAACCCCAAAGACTGGAGTCCTTGTAAGAGAGAGAATAGGGGGGTGAAGGATAAGGAAACAGGGACATCAGTCACGGGAGAAAGAGGCAGAGGCTGCACCAGTGTGGTGGTCACAAGCTAAAAGCACCAGGAGCCATGGCTGGAAAAGGGAAGGAAGAAGTCAGCCCCAGGCCCTTTGAAGGGAAGGCACACACCCTGAGTTAGATTTCTAGCCTCCAGAACACCGAAAAAATAATTTTCTGTTGTTTCATGCCACCACGTTTGTGGCAATTCATCCAGGCAGCACTAAGAAATGAGGACTGCACATAACTTAATTCTCCAAGGCTCTGGTTTAATATCTGTAAAATGGGGAGGACTGCATTCCACATTTCTTCTTCATAAAGTTATTGAGAGAATTAGTGATAATAGGCCTGTCTTGTGAACTAAAGGGGTGCTATAAAGAGGCCAGAAGTGATTATTGTAGTAATACTGTTATTAAAATAGTTGTTTAGTGATTTCTCTGAGAGCTTTCAGAGTCATCATGGCCAAGACAGGAAGGAGGAAGGTGTCAGGCTCAGCCCAATCCCATCTCCTATACTCAGTTAATATTTTACCAAGTCAATTAAATCTGCAAATTATACCAGAGGTAATTATCACTTTGCTTTAAGAAAATGAAATATTCCAATCTATTTTAATCACGTCTGCTCCATGCATGCAGGGTATGAAGAAAAGCCTGCTTGAGATGCATTAAAGGTCCTTAGGGTATTTCTGGAGGGCTTCCATGCTGTGGGTTGATATCCTCTGGTGCCTCTTGCCAGGGCCTAAATGGTACCATGGGATTCAAAATCCAGGCTTCTTTTCTCCCTAATTTTTTTCTCCCTAATTCATTTCTTTAGTTCTGAGACAATCTCTCTGATTCTTGCTCTGATTTTTGGACAGACAGTTGTAATCTTCTCTGTCAGTAAAATAAGTAACACCATCTTACCAGAACCAGAAATTTCTGAGAGCACTGTGCTATGCCAGGCCAGAGTCCTTCAAATTGGTATCATTGAAATAGTACTGGCTACTCCAAAGCAAGTCTTAAAAGGTGCTCCTGTTGTGCTCAGTTGGAGGAGTACCACCTTACACTAGTGGGAGACTGTGAGCCCCTCCCCCTCAGCTGACAAAAGTAAATGACAGAATGTACAAACCCTGAGATGGTTTGGGTTTTTTTTCCTGTGATTCCACTTGGGAGCCGCCATCTTGAAAGTGACTTCCAGAAGGAAATGCAAAGCCTATAGGGTGCGTTGCTGAGTTGGGTAAGGGAAAGAGTATGGTCTTTGGAAACAGCACAGCCAAGTGGTGGTTAATGCCAAAAACCATAATACTAATCCCTGGATTTACCATTTTCCAGCCATGTGATGTTGGTGTATTTATTTGACCTGGCCAAGTCTCAAGTCCCTCACTTGTAAATCTGGTTATAATAAAAGATCCCTTGTGAGAATGTTCCAAGGAATTCATATACATTAGGTGCTCAATATGTGCCTCTTCCTTCTGCTATTCCACTGGAAATGCCATAGACACTCAGCCTTTCCAACGGGGGGTGTCTCAACAGTCAACTGTGCCTTCAAGGATCATTTGGTTGGGGACAGGCTGGTTGGGGACAGGCTGGTTGGGGACATGGCAGAGATGTCAAGAGAGATCCTCCATGACAGCAGGAAATGTGCTATGAAATTACTAAATACCCTATTTGCCCCTTCTGTTCTTGTAGACAGTCACTTAAAGCCTCACACTTCTGGCTTATGACTTTCCTGGCTGCCATAGCACACAAAGCCCTTTCTCTTCCAAGGCCAAAACTCTTTCTTCCTGAAAATACCAGACCCATTCCCACACCCCAGCCCACAGGCTCCATCAGGCAGACCCTGGCAGTCTAGATGGCTCATGGCAGATGGCGCCATGTGGACTAATCAAGACATCGGACAAGAAAATACTACCCTCTCTTGCGTTTGCCAGGAACTGGAATTGTTTGGATTTTAATCATAGCCACAGCTAAGAGCCAATGTGAGGCCCCTCCAGCCAAAAGATAAAGTTTCCACTCTCAACATTCAATTTTTCCTCAAAAAATAGACCCCTACAGGGTGATTGCTCTGTAGAGGGGCGCTTCTTTATTCTCCAATGTAATTTTTTCTTACTTAACAATATGATAGAAATAAAATGCTCTATAGACCTGGTGCACTCACACGCTGACTCACACTGGAAGGAATGTCTTCATTCCTGCATAAGTTACATCTAGCTCACTAGTATATTGATCCTGGCAAAGATGAATGCAGAATCCCATGATCCTCTGGGAGAAATCTGACATTGCCTTTAAATATATATCCATAGAACAACTGTTTCCAAGCCTCCATGAAACAGGTCATCAGGGCAGCACACCATTGATTTCATATACAACGATTTTCTTAGAAAGAACACTGAACATTTTCTTAATATTTCAGCTAACAGCAGACCCTAGATATCCCCTGGAGGAACACTGTCCCTGGCCTCTCCCAAATGAAGGGGCAGGCATCCCAAGAGAACTGGATGCAAGACTCCCAAGAAAGAGAGCCCTCTGGGTAATTTAAGGAAGAACTAGTGCGCTTTTTCAAAGTTATTGTAGAATATATCATTATATTGGAAACAGATTAAAAAAAGTTGAGTGATGGTGGAACATAGCAGTCTAGGCTTTGAAACTACATGTACAACTTATTCAATAGGTGACCTTAAACAAGCTACATAGCCTTGCCAAATACCTCAATGTCTTCCAACGTGAAGTGGTAGCAATAATTCCTACCTTACAAAAGTGACATAAGGATTAAGTGAAATAATGGACATCATTTAATAGATTACTTGGCACAGTACCTGGCCCAGAGGAAGTGCTCAGAAATTACTGTTAGAAATAATTACAGAAGTCATGTTAATTTACCTCTTTTCCACCTACAAAAATGGGAATGAATATAACTGTATGTTGTATAACCATCTAACATTTAGATGTCTATTGGGGAGGACAGTGTTTTATAAACAAGTATACATTTACCTTTTTCCTAGCTCAGGTAGAAATTTTTATTTGTGTCAGAGAGGTACAATTCAAAAGAACATACCCACAGAAGTTTTATCCTAAAGTCCTCAACACTTTTGTTTTTTTGAGACTGGGTCTCACTGTGTAGCCCAGGCTGGCCTCGAACTCTCAATTGTCTTACCTCTACCTCCTGTGTGCTAGGATTATAGGCAAGTGCCACCACACCCAGCTCCAACACTTTTATATAGACTTCTGTATTTCTTATCTGGAATGGCTTTTTGAAGCATCATGTTGGCAAGAACAATATACAAAGTTGTCACAGGGTGATAAGCCATTCCCATTCCCGCAGCTGGTCTAAAAAGGTAAGGTTATAACTCATCCATGAACTTGGGGCTTGCCAGGTGGAAGAAGAACAAGTTGAAAGGCCAATAGCCTAGGCAGAAGCCCAAGGTCATTGCTTCTTGGTAAACACAGTAAAGCAATCTGCATTCAGCAAATTGGGATCTGAGTCACCAAGTAAAAGGGAACACATGAGCAGTGTCTCTGAAGCCTTGTCTCCCTAACTTCATCCATGCCTCAGTTCCTTTGCAATTTATTCCTTGATTTATTCCCTCAATATAATATGTTGTCCTTCATGCACAGAGATGACCCTGATGACTCACACATCAACATGAGTTATTTTTTCCAGCAGTGGTCACGAATTTTCATTCATCCAGGCAACATTTGTTTGCACAAAATGGCTGGCTGGGGTAGGAGAGCGTTGATCAACCTTGGAATGCATCAGGGCTAAGCAGTCCACACACAGATTAAATAAATGCACACTCTTCCCTGAATTCCTGTACTTCAAGCCAAGTAAATTGAAAGAGATCATAAGTGGCAAAAAGGATATGCAATCTGAAAAACAGAGGCCTGGGTTCAAGTCCCAGCTCTACCAGTTCCTAGCAATGCAATCACGATTGATTTTTCAAGGCCTTTCTCAGGCTCAGAGTCCTCATCTATAAAATTCAGAGAATAATAATCCCTACTTCCCATGACTCTTGGGATGAGAAATCTAAGGTCACAAAACTCAGTCCTTTAGTGCTAAGAGGTGAGAGCCTATCTTCTGAAGTAGATTGTGCTCCGAAAGCCCATCAGAAGGCAAGCACTGGAGTGGATCGCTCTCACTGAACATGGTACACTCAATGCCATCCAACCCAAGCAGTCTCTTCAGGTATATGCCCAGCCTCAGGTAACTCCAGTGCTTGACACTTGTTCCCACCCAACCATTACCACCACTTCACCACCTGGACAGGCTTCAAAACCAACTTACAATTCCCGAAGACTCAGAGTCTGGAAGAGCTGCCATGAGAGGGTGGTGAGCCGGTTGCTTGACAGGTTTCTGCAAGATAGACAAATAAAGGGAAGTCAGAGGACAGCTCTGGCATCAGTGACTTGACAGTGACTTGCTCATTTCACTGGAGCTTCTCTTTGTCGTTCTTTTTTTTCTCCACTCTAAACTACCGAGGAAGGGCTAGGGACGTGGGTCAATAGGCGAGCACCCGCCTGGTAAAGAGAAGGCAATGAATTCAAATCCTAGTGCAAAAAAAAAAATTAAAAAAAAAACCCAGAACATCTGCTAACAGTCCAGATCACAGATCTGTTTTGGAGAGGATTCTGAAGCCTTTAAAGGGCAGGTTTTTACAAATCAAAGAAACAATAAAACTTGTTTATTTCCCCCCATATCCTCTCCCTGTAATGAAAGTTCAGAAGCCGGTTTGAAGCTACCCTTCTCTAAAGGACAAAGAATTCTGAATGTATACAAGCCAACCAGAATTCTTCACATTCACACAGGTTTGAAAACTCTGCAGGTCACCTACAGTTCTTTCTAGCCTGCTCCTCCCCCTGCAAACATGTCCATCAGTTAGATCAAGACATCAGCCTTTTGTTCACACGTCTGTTCTCCTAATGGCTATTTAATTGTTCTCATTAGGATGTACAGTGGAAGGGAGCAGCTATTAGTCTTTGGAATAAAAGAAGAAACACACCCACGGTTATTACTTTGCCAGGCTCAACAAACAACTTTTGATGGGATAACAGCCCTTAAAGGCAGCAGTTAGACACTGCTAGAATCGAAGTGGCACCCCAGGAACAATGTAGTCATCAGCTGATGGAACTGATGGCTGTGTTGATTCCATTCAGGTAAATATCTCTCCACACACACAGGCATGTGTATATTTGTGTCTATTAAAGATGTAGGTAACAAATGCAAACACAGACTTGTTTATAAAAACACATATGCTTACATATGTATCTATATTTAGATGACTTTACAGAAAATATCAATTGAAAGTCAAATATAGGTTCTACTGAGTAATGAGAGGAAGACACTGAGGGGAAAGATAAGGTACCTCTAAAACCTTGTATTCAAGTTACAAATGAATAAGGAAGTAACTGATGTGGGAGGGGGAGAGATGCTGTACTCAGCATTTTCTGTTCAAGTCCTTGAGCCTCATGGAGCTCTCCAGGACGGTCCCAACAGAGCTCACCCTCCTCCTTTCTGCAGGGCTGAGAGCTCTGGATTGCCAGCAAATGCTCACTAAGGGTCCGTGAACCTAAGCCATCCATGAGTCTCTGCTTCATAAAACCCCTGAAGATTGGGAGTCATTCCTACAAACTTCCACCAGTCTCACCAATCAGAGGGAAGGGAGGGGGAGGAGAAGAACTGCAAAGAGACCATTTAAGGACCAAGATCCTTGCAGTGCGGTCTCTTGCTTGGAGGGATACATCAGGGGGTCCAGTATTGTCCTCAGAGTCACTGCCCCACCTAGCTAGTAGACAAGGAGCTCAGAACTTGGGGTCAAGGACAGCAGGTTTCAGTACCACTCTCTAAGTCTCTGCTGCCATTAGCCTATATGGTATTTAATAAATCTGAGTACTTGAATCATCCAGGTAGAAATCTCTCTCCCCTCTCCCCTTTCCCCTCTTCTCTCTCCCCTCTCCCCTCTCCCCTCTCCTCTCACTCCTTCTTCTTCCCCCACCCCATCCCTGTCTCCCTACTGTCTACACACAATAGTATCCTTGGAGGCAAAAGGTGAGCAAGCCCCAGACTTGTAACTCCACAAAGGAATCCACCAGACTTTGGGAAGACCTCCAGCCTCTGCCTGTACTTCCGCACCCCACTCTAGCACTCCCTTAAACAAAGCCCATGGTTCTAAAGCCAAGCCACAGCAGCCTGCAAGGGCTCAGCAGCCAGGCTCCTTGAACCTTGGGAAGCACGCCCCTAGCAAGACGCAAGACATAAGCAACCAGCAGGACAAGCAGCTAGGAAGGCAGGGGCATCCCAGGTGCCCAGGGCAGCTTGCTCCTCCTAAGGGAGGAGAGGCAGGCAGCCTGCCAGGAGTTCTGGGGAGCCCCAGGCAGAGAGCAGGCTGCCAGCAATGTCCTCTCACAAAGGTCATGCTTTGCTACATCAGGCAGAAATGTCAAGAGAAAATTGGATTCTGAAAGAGAGAAAATAACAGGCTTTCTGGGCAAATAAAGAATAAGAAATAGCATTATCTCCTACTTATTACAAGTTAAAGGAGGGTGGGGGCCTGGGACACCTCGTAAAGGGGAGGTAGGCTCCTATTCTCTTGGGATGTCTCAGCTTCGTCTCCTGTCCTCTCTTTCTCCACCCACCGAACCCCAGTGGTAAGAGAGGGGTCGCTTGGATTCCCCCCAGCTCTGTGTCCAAATGGAGCAACCACTGAAGTGGAGTGCTCAGGCATCTATCCACACAGCTAGACAGACCTGTGCATGTTCCCAGACAGAGGGACACTGTATTGCACGAGTCCAGAAAGAGTTCAGTGTGCAGAATCTGCGTGGCTATTCCCAGTGCCCTACCAGACACAAAAGAGAAGCACCTAGCCCTGAAGACAAACATCCACAGAAAAGACAAGAAGTAAGGCAAACAAGTCCACCACCTGCACACACACACACACACACACACACACAAAATCAGGGAATGGGTCTGGTACAGAATAAATGGGGGAAAGTCGAGGCACAGGTCTTCACTAGGGCTTACCACCCACTCAGAACTCACTGCCTTAATTTTCCATCTAGCTGGTGTTTTACCTGTGTTCATCTGTCACCAGTTATTGATGAGCTGGTTACCCTGCTCATCAGACAAGAGTTTAATTAAGAACCATCCTTCTTCTAAGCGCAAATGGCAGCCTCTCCTGGTGCCTCCTCCTTGGCAGATCCATTATCACCTACCTCTGACTTCTGCTTGGGTCAATGGCCAGTGTCCAAGCCACCTGACCATTGAATTAATTGGGTGAGCAAGATTTTACAAGACGATGCATCAAGTGCTTCCCAAACTCAAGCTCCATGACATCGTCCCTGCTATCTCTCATCTGAGGCTCCCAGACAAAGCCATTAATTTTGTCCTGCACAACTGGCTAACTCACAGCCAGACTCTGGGGTCCAGAGATAATAAACAATGGTGATGTGGCTACTGGGTGTCTGGGAGCAAGTAACCAGACACACATATGATCAAGCTCAGGGCCCTGAGGACCAGCAGGACAGAGATGTCTCATCCTGCATTAACTGTGTAGTCAACAGAGATCCTTCCAGGCCACTCCCCTCTGACTAGCAGAACTCTCACAGGTTAAGAAGTAACAGGACTTTAAGCAGGAATGGAGTCCCATCACTGGAGAGGATGTCACCCTCTACCCTAGGACCCCTATTGCTTTACAAAAGGGTCAGCAAGATGGATCCTATTGCCAAGAGGAAAAAGAAAAAAAACAGGTAAGTTCTTCTGTTACCCTAAACATATGACACCATTGGGGACTGAGAGTTAAGAAGGGGACAAAAGGCAGCATCTTAAAGAAGTGATCTGAAGATGGAAGGCTTCACAGACTTCCTGAATTAAGACTGCGGCTGGTACTAAGAGCCAGTAGCTCATGCCTGTAATCCTAGCTACTTGGGAGGCTAAGATCAGGAGAACCATGATTGGAGGCCAGCCCCCATATCTAAAACAACCTGAGTAAAACAGACTGGAAGTATGGCTCAAGCAGCACATCTCCTGCTTGAAAGCCCAGAGTTCAAACCATAATCCCACTCAAAAAAAAGAGAGAGAGAGAGAGTGGCACTGGTGGCTCATGCCTGTAATCCTAACTACTTGGGAGGCTGAGATGGGAGGATCACAGTTCAAGGCCAGTCCAGGCAAATAGTTTGTGAGACCCCATCTCCAAAATAACCAGAGCAAAATGGACTGGAGGTGTGGCTCAAGTGGTAGAGTAAAGCCCTGAGTTCAAATCCTAATCCCAGCAAAAAAAAAAGAGTGGGGCTGGCATTTGGAAGTACCTCCTCCTCTATGACACAGGCAGGCCAGGAGCAGGTAGGTCTTAGGATTTGAGTGTATAAAGGATTTTTGGGGGCAGATGCCTACATCCCTGTGCTATTAACCCGGACTGCTCCATCCACACATTACTCAGCTCCATCCTGCCTGTCCAGGCCAGCATCACAGGCTTCCCTCCAACTTCTAGTTGCTCAGTCCATCTCTGCATCCCCTGGTCGCTCTTACTCGGGTCTATTATTATGGGCCGAATTGTATCCTCCCCACCAGATACACATATTAAAGTCCTGACTCCAGTACCTTAGAGATGGGGCATTTAAAGAAGTAATTAAAATTAATTGAAGTCACTAGGATGAGCCCAAATCCTAAATCACTGGTATCCTTATAAGAAGAGATATGGACACAGTGGACACAAAGGGAAAACCAGTAGAGACACAGGGAGAGGATAGCCATCTATAAGCCAAGAAGAGAGGCCTCAAAAGAAACCAAACTTGTTTATGCCTTGGTTTTATACTTGTAGCTCCAGAACTGTGAGGAAATAAATGTCTACTGTTGAAGTCACTCAGTCTGCGATACTGCATTATGGTAACCCTAGAGAACTCAGACACCTGTTCTCATTTGCCCTAAGGCCCTGATAGCCAAGTTGGTCACCCCCGACTGTGGTCCCTGAAAGACTCCAAGCCATGTTTTCCTGTCACTCCTCCTTCTGTCTCTGCATGGTAGTTCCAGGGAACCAGCCTCCCCACAAAGATCCAGCTGCTAAGACCCCATCTGCTATCTGTCCTCTTGTCCACCCCCTGGGTGTACTCCAGCCTCCTCCTGTAAAAATAATTATTGAAAGAGAACACAGAGAACCGCAAATACGCTCAGCTCACACCCCAGAGATAAATGCCACTGTCCCTGGCTTTTCCTGGAGCTGTCATTCTGCTGTTGCTTAAGCATCACATGTATGAGGTACACCCAACACAATTAACCAGAAAACCCCTGCCCAGCTCCCAGCCTGGGGCTTGCTGTCTGGCATCATCACGGTGCCGATCTTGTCTTTCCTCCACCAAGGCAAC